GGTTATTGAACACCTCTATGGTTATGGGAGATTTTGTTTAGCACTTTTAACATGCATTTCATTTATTGGCCTATAAAATGCTACTTTGGAAAAACAACTCTTTATATAGCTATAATTAAAACAGTCTTGCAGCAAAGCCCTTTAACATGGAGAACACTGTTAACCTTATGACATCTGGACAATCAGTCCTTTCATTTTTACTAGGTATTTATGAAGTTATTAAAATTGTAAAATTACTGATGTCCAAAGTGGAATACTTTTCCAGTAGTTCCGAATAAGGTTATCAGCCTCCCTATTTTATTTTATAAATGTTCTAGACTATTCTCTGTTGTGCTTCGCTAACTCTTGCTTTGCAGAGGAATTCAACAGCAGATCTGGCCATACATATTGGCAGAGGTCAGCAAGTTCACACGGAAAGCTTTCCTCGGCCAAAGGGCAACACCTCTTCACCCAGCTCAAAAAGCATCGTCATGCTACTAGACAGCACTACAGAACTTTAAGAACCTTGAGCTGTGCTTATTGTTAGACACCCATAGTTATCAATGTTTTTAACAGCTAAATCCCTTATGTAGCTTTCAAAACAGTTTGCTGTCAAACAACAATAGACTTTGTTCTTTAATTATAGCAAGTGACCTCCCTGACCTTTTATTTCACAGTGAATAAACTACACCCAAGGCCAGTGAGAAAAGTACATGAAAAGCCTATCTCCATAACATCATTAATCAAAGCATGTACTTAAATGATTTACATCAAAAGGTAATATGCACACAGAATTTCCTGATGAAGTGTAAACCACCTTCAATCCTGCTATTAAATAAAAAGAGTGAAGATAAAATGAACAATACCAGCCAACATGTTAATTTGCTGAAGACAACTTTCAGATGTGAAATGCAATCTTAATAAGAAGCAATAAGCTAGCACAAGAGAAAAAATTCAATCCTGAAATACCACTAGACTGATTCATTTAAAAACTGCAACTAGACCTCTGATTATAGCTTTATATCTTCTGTATTATTTTCACATAAACATACTGGTTTTCACATGCCAAAGACAATCTTCCCATAACTCAAAGTAAACTGTGACTCCCAAAATCTCCCTGAAACACACACAAAGCAAATTCTTCTAGATATTTTGAACACTGTTCACCATAACAGCTGTTGAAAATACAAAAAAAACCCACCACCTTAGCTAAAACAGATGAAGAGTTCATGCTGACAGTCAGTAACTGTGCTAAAAATGGTATGGATGAGAAATGGAAAATGGAGACAGGTTTTAACACAAAAAAATCTTAGGAGTGGTTAGCCTACCTGTCAAAGCTACTTATTCAGACATGTCACTGGTGGCTTAACCACAAAATGGGCTGCACGAATATAGCTCAAACATCTTAGAATTACAGCATACTTTGACTTTATCCACATACTAGGGGAGTGGCAACTTTAACAACATACTTGCGGTTTCTGCATAGAAGAACCAGCAGAACACAGTAATCGATTTAATTAGGCTTCATAAGATCCAATTTATTATGTTTTACATGACTTTCTGAAGAAAGGAAACAGAATAAGTAGACCAAAAATAGACACTGAAGCATGCCGTGAAAGCTAAACGCTGACTAGAACTCCTGGGAAAATATTCCAAGCTTTTCACAAATAGTAAACAAATGGAGTATTATATTTCACAGCACATATAAAAACCTGTAGACTTGGAATCAGCAGGCAAGAGCTCATTTGTATTTAAGAGAAAACATCCAAATTCATAGAGACATGTCTTTCACAACATTAAGATAACTGGAAATTGATTTTAACATGCAGGCTTGAAAATTACATATTTATCTACAGACATAAGGTGCTTTGTGCAAGTACAGCATATGTGTTCTAGTGTATTAACAGTCAAAGCAAGAACACTTAATTAATATAAAACCTTGGAAAAAAGATATCTTTCTAATGATTATTAAACATTGGGGGAAAAACCCAGAACAACAAACATAAAACACTCAAATTTCACTAACGGGCTGGGCTTAAGGTTGGAACCATTGTCAGCAACGCGCTTTATTATTATTGCATGTCCAGAAGGGAGCATTCTTTGGGAAGAGAAATACGAAGGGACGTTATTTAAGACAGCAAGCAAGCACACCATTGTGCCAGACAATGGCCAACACTGCATGACACTAATGTGCGAAGGCTATATTAAAGTCGGTGTGTGCCAACAGCAGTGGCTATTACTGAAAATGCAAGCTTTAAACTCCCTTCTGGAGCAACAACTACACCACCAAGTGTACCACTGCCTCTAAATCGCACCATCCGTGTTTGTTCTGAATTTGCAAGCCATCTGATTTACATTGCACGTAAGATTACCAGCATGTATATGGACGCTTCATAGAATTTCCTGTGCGACTGGAGAGTGAAAAGAACACAAAAACGGGAGAAACCACACCACCCTCTAATCTCTGTTGCCATGACAGCAGCCTTTGAGATACTGAAATGTTCAGATTGCCAGCTAAACAAAATTGTTGAATGTGAACATTTGGCTGAGAGATTAAAAGGCTAAGGGGGTTGCAAAAGGGCAGTACCTCCCACATTCCAGGCAGCCACTGAATCCAATCAAATTGCTCTCTTTAACCACAGTCATTGTGAAGACCGGATTAGGGCAATTTATCTAGATAGTTAAAACAGATTAGAGAACTGCAATTTGAAGACTATTGGCAACAGAAGTAAATGCCTACTGTATTAAGTTAATAAAGAGACCATGAGATTTTAGGACACCTTTCCGCCGCGAACAAAACGTTCATAAATCAAAGCACAAACAAACACATACGAATTACAGCAATCTGTTTCTCTCATCTGCATTCAGAAAAGGTCACAGGGCTCATTCAAATTCATCCATGGATATGCTATCTTAAAAGCAGTAATATGCATACAATATTAAATTTAATTTGTTCCTTGCCTTGAACAGAAGCCCTTGAAATTATTTTCCAGTTCTAACAAATAGCTGATGTCACTAGCACCCAAATCGAATCCTTCAGTTGATTTAAATATTACAAAAAAAAAAAACTACAACAAAACGGAAATAGATACAAGCCGGTAATGGGTCATAAAAAGACGGAATGTTTTCCCCAGACATTCAGCCCTCCTAGACACTTGCAGACCATTCAGTTAACACAGATCTGAAAGTTTTCCCAGTGCTGAACGTTCACTGAGGGAAGTTGTAAAAACAGGTAATTTAAGACCAACAGCTAACAATAAAGTCACAATAAAGCACCCTGACATAGTTCATCTGGGGGGGTGTTGGTTTGCTTTACTTTTCAGGCAGACCAGGTTATCTTGGTTTAACGACCTGTAGAATTCATCTGACTCCAAATCCTGGGCCAACGCTCACCCCCAGGTCCCCTAGAAGGTGCCTTCTGCCGTATGGACAGAACACTTCCTCCCAACATCACAACCTCCTTGCAACAGGAGTTAACAAGAGCCAAGCTCTCCCTCTACCCTTCGAGAAGAATAGTCATGGCCATTTATTCTTACAGAAAGCATCCTTCATAGCTTAACAGAAAGGAAGAAAAACATACACCCCCATCTGATTTCTTTCAAACATTTCAACCACTTAACAAAAGAGTAGTTCACATCCCAGAGCCTGCGAGGCTCAGCTAGGAAAGACGGGTTCTCATCCCCCAGACAGGAGAGAAATTGCTCCCCTCTGTTTCAAAACCTGTTTTGCACACAGGCATCTCAGCACAAGGTGCATTCCCCTCCTCCCAGGAGGACCAAAGGCACTGCCTGGCTGCTACCTCCTTCCTCCCCGTCCTCCACACCAACTCCTGGGGCCTCTGAGCTGCTGTACCACATAGGAGCCTCCAGCATGATAAGCATTCTGCATCTTCACAAAGCCGAACGGCAAAGTTCAGGTCTCTGCCAGTGTCTCCTGTTCCCCCAACCAAGCACAATCTCAGCTCCAGACAGTGGGTCAGAGGAGAAGGGAGAGGTGTCTCTTTAGACTCTGGGAGAGGAACAGCCGCAAACGCCTGCCGGTGTTGTGGAAAAGCATCACCACATACAAGACCTGCTGCTCCTGGAGCTTGAGCTACGCACGCCCCTAGGCAAACACACAGACATCCAGTCTGCAAACACATGCTGTCTTACTGGTACCAACACCACTGCTCTCTGCTAAAATCGGGGACAGCTAAGTCAGGGTCATTTCGGGGTTTCTCCTGGATGATCAAAAGGAGCAGACAAAACAGAAACTTTCTCCAGGTCTGAGGACAAAAAGCGTAAGAAAGAGTAGCATACTCAAAACATGGAGTTCTTCTGTCTAAGGGAAGAGGTCTCGAGGTTTTTTCTTTTTAAGAAAACAACGTTTTCTTTTAAGAGAAAGAACGTATCACAAATACACAGCAGAGAGGACACAAGAACCAAACACAATTCTGGGACATTTACTATAGACACAGGGAGACACAGAAGAGGTGGAGAGGAGCTTTGTCCTACCTTTTCTGTTTTCAATTTCTTGATTCGCTTGTGGCTCTCCTCCTCCTCCTCCTCCTCCTTCTTTACCAAAATAGAGTTCCCCATTAACCCTGAATCCGGGATACTTTTGCTCACCTCCCCCACAGCAGAGGAGGTGCAGTGGAAGGGGCTGCTGCTTCCACCGCCACCTCCCTTGATCCCAAACCCATAGAGGTGCCCAGCAGGAGCCTGGCCACTGCCACCTGTGCTGCTGTTGGTGTGGCCCTGCTGCAGGTCATGTTGTTTGTCCTTCCTGGATTTTCCCACATCCTTATCCCGCTTGGAGCCTCTGCTGCCCGGGGCTTTACCTGGTTTCTCCTCTTTGTTTTTCCCACAAGAGGCAATGGTGGTGGTGTTGCTGGTGGTGGTATTATTGCCGTTTGGGTTACTGTTCACACTTTGACCCAGTGCTGAATTCATGCCAGTTGCCTCTCCAGGGCGCCCTTGGACTTCCTGCCTCTTGCCAGCACTGCTGATCTCAGGAATCCCATACAAGGCAGCAGAAGGCAGAGATTTATTAGCATCCTTAGAAGTTTTACTCCTTTTCACTTTTGATTTGCTAGTCTCTTTGTGAGATGAATTCCCCTGGGGAGCAGCGGACTGAACAGAAGCAAATTTTAGGCCATCAGCTAAGGCTGAGGTAGCATTAGCCCCACTGGAAGCAAGGCCCCCACAATCCTTGGAGCTGGCGGTGCTGCTGCTGGTGGTATTAGAATTATTCATCTCAAATTTCTGTCTGTCCTTCTCCAAATCGGCATCCAGATCAATTATTAAATTCCCAACACCAATTTCCCAATCATCACCACTGTCGTAAGTGTCAACAGTATTTGGATCCACACCTTTTCCTGCAGTGGAAGTGTTCAATGACATCCTGAAGATGAGATCTCTAGAGTAAAAATCTGATGAACTTTCCTTTGGAGATGTGGGGACATTCGTTTATCTCCGCTGGGCTCTTTTAAGTTCAACTCTTTTTGTCTTCCTCCCCCAAGTGTGTTTAGGTTCACACCCCGCAGTCTACGTCCACCTTGTCCTGTAAGAAGAGGAAACGTCAAATGTTTCTCATCTGCGTGTTACCAGAATATAATACAACTAATGAAAAGGGGAGAAGGTAGGGGGAGCAAAATCATTCCCTGTTGCCATGATTTTTTTCTTAAGTTTCTTTAACTGAAGGCAATGGCCATGATTATTTTATAGAGAGCATCTTTAATCTAGTTATATACCAACATCCACAACCTCTCTTACAAAGTCACATCCAAAAAAAAAGAAACACGAGAAAGAAAAAATTAACAACGTTATTTAAATCCACAAAGCTCAGGAAATACAGTCTCAGAAGTGGTGCCTAGCTGATGGCACACATGTTGAAATCTAACCCCTTGGACCACCACCTAGGCACAAAAAGGAGAAAAGGAAGGACACAGATTCACTCTTCACTGCATTCCATGGATTTTGTGACTTTAAACCAGATCCCTGAAGTTTTGTGACTCTCCTGTATTATCTTTTACCCCTCTTCCATTTAATCACTTAGGGGACAGGGGGAGGTGGAGAGAGCACTAAAGGAAGCGGGAAACCTAATTTTACTTGCCACAATACAGCTTCTGTTAAAAAACAATGACCTACAAACACAAATGTTAAGTGGAAAATATTAAACTCCATAGGTTAAATAATAATTTAAAAATATAAAAAGGTATTCTTTTCTTAAAAAAAATTCTCAAAATAACAGTTCTAAAAGCAGTTCTAATGTACTCCTAGGTCACACAATTGTTAGGTCTGTTAAATATAGTACTACTGACTGTACAGGAAACTGATTAAGACATACACTTTAAGTGATCTGCACCAAGGTGGCCTCAGTGACCGCAAATGAGTGTGTTTGACAAAGCTTAGTTAAAACGATTTTTAAAGGGATCTCTCCCTTTTACAGTCGACTGTCGAAATATTTATACATATATATGCATAATGCTTACCTTTAATCCTTTATCATTTTTAATTAAACCAGCAAATCAAAATGCTGTTCCCACTCGTCTCAGCAACAATTCTGTGCCTCATTTTACTTAAGGAGCAAGTGATCAAGAAGTAGAAAGCAAGTATCATCTCAGCCAGTATAAATCGGTCAGTAACATATCTCCCCCTACTTTGTCACACGGATCAGAAGTCCTTTTTTTTTTGTTTGTTTAGGTGTTTTTTTCTTCCTTGCTTAAAGAAAAAACAACAAAAAAAAAAGCTGAGCCCCACAAGTTTACCAGCTGCTAGGTAATATTTCACATTCAGAACTGAAGCATCAAGGACCAGATTTTTGTTTGTTTGCTTTTCCTGAATAAGCACCAAGAGGTAATAATAATCACAGTAATTAAAAAAAAAAAAATG